ATTAATCACAATATCCGTGTCTTCATATTTCACAAGAATTTCGAAATAAATAATATTAAAACCTATCACAGGTATTTTGTGTATTGAAATAATTTGCATAAAACTGAGTTATTTGAAATTTGATATATATATATAAAATTGCCATTACTTTCTAACCCTGGCTGTGACTAGGGTTAACATACGTCCAAGTTTTCAGCGTCCCCCTTTGTTCAGAAGTAGTAAAAGTAGTACATTTTCCCAGTTTTTCTCTACGGTTTGTCATTATACACAGCTTTTTTAATTAAATTATACTTCAAGAATCACCTGATAAAGTTTGTTTGTTTGAAGTTAAACATAAAGCTACATAATGGGCTATTTGTGCTGTGCCCACCACGAGTAAGTATTGAAACCCAGTTTTTAACGACGTAAGTCCGCAGACATGCCTTTGTACAATGTTCTCACGCTCTGCTACGTTTTCTTAAAAACCTGTCACTGGGCAGTCGCAGGAATTGAGATTTGAAGACCTGCCGAACCGCGAAAAAAGTAACTAACAACAACAACAATTTGTATGATTTTAAAACGGAATGCACAAAACATCGGGTTATTACCAAATGTGAAAAGTGTGCTATTGTAATTTAAACTGTTTCAAGTCTGTTACACCCCGAAAGGAAAAACACGCCCCGGGGTTTCTCTATGGAAATCTAGTAACCTTGGTTATGACGTGTCTATTTTCGCTAACTTTATCTATACGTCATGCTTTATAAGAAGAAATGAAAGCATTTTGAATCGAGAAGAGGATGATAGTGAACTAGAGTGAACGTACGTACATACGACAAATGTATTATCTGCTGACGTAGTTTCGGGAATATAGTGATGATTCTAATCTCTTCCAGCTGGAGATAGTTAAACTCAAAATAACAGATCAGCACTGAATATATTTAAACCAGTGTTTTAGGCAAAATGTTCTCTTTGCAGTTAGGTTCAAGTGAGTTTAATGCAAAAAGCACACATAAACCTGACAGTGGCGAACCAGCATAAGTCAAAAAAAGGTAGGCATTACAGTAATCAAATCACGACTTATGACTTATCTAAGCTTAAGCCTATCGAGTTCCGAGCGTATTTTCAAAAGTTAAAGTGCTTTTAATCATAGTCCTCCGGTTAGATGGCGTTAATTTTACGGATTTACAACGCTAAAATCCGAGATTCGATTCCCCGCGATGGACAGAATAGAGCAGTTTGTCCATTATGTAGCTATGCTCTAATACAACAACAGTAACAATTTTAATCGTAAAATAGAAAAAAAATTAAAAAACAGAGTTCAACAAAAACTAAAATGTAGTGAATAGGCCTATTGCAGCTTAGTTAAGTTTAGTTTTGTGATGTATTAGTTTTAGGAAGTTAAAATAAAACAAAAGTTTAAATATTTGAATAAATCTTTATTACTTTATTTTTAGTAAGTCTCTAAATTAGTACTGATGTTCAGTGAATCTTATTATAATATAAAGTAGGGGGGGATAGATCTCAAATTAAAAATGTCCAGTTTAAAGTAAAAAGCACAAAAACGCGTCTGTATATAAAAGTTAAATTGAAAGAAAATAATATTTAAGAAGCATGTTTATAATTAAGAAAGTCCAGAGTAATTTGTAAAGTAGTTTTTCTGTCCATTGGAATAATGTTAAACTATTGAAGAGTATCGAATGTCCCGTGAAGAGATTGGTTTACTTTGTTTTCAAGTTGTCCAATT